GGAGATGGAAGAGGATTCCTGTGAAATAGAAGGAAAGGAGATAGGAGATGTTTGAGGAGAGGAGGAGGATTTTGTTCGCAGTAATGTATATTTTTTGAATGAAATTTGGAGCAACTGTATTTAGGTATTTTTTTTCTTTTAGTTACAAAAAATAAATACTTATCACAACATTTATTTTTTTATAGATGTTATTGATATTTTGGACATCAAGTCATCAAGTTTCATTTATTTGTGTATTATACAAGCCTATCTATTGGTGGAAATGTAAAATGGCAGCTGGTATAACACCTTGTATGAATTATTAGGAACTCCAAAGAACTTTTGACATAATTTAAACTGGGAAGAAGCTCATAAAAAACTAGTTTAGGCTGCAGTAGTACCAGGACCATAAATTGGCTTCCACAACACAGATCTCTTTCAAAAATGGTAAGTTTTAACAAATCATATTCTTTTTTTAGGTTTTTGGAATGCTTGAAAATTATGACAAATATTCATTATCTACAAGTTTAATATTTTGAATTTATATACATATATTTTAATAGGTATTGTTATCGATTGCTTGCTTGTCCGCTAATTTAAACTCACGATAAAATACTTAACGAATTTATTTTCTCACTATTTACACACATAATTAACTATTTAATAATCCTTCACCATTTTGTCAACATTTGCTATTCAAAAACTAACCTTATTTTAGATAGCGGCTGCTTCTCGAACGTTTGAAAATTATCTTTATCGTTTTTTTTTATTTAAATTAATCTAATTTGATACTACAATTTTTCCTATTTATTTTAATTTTTAGATATCTGTTCGAGTGATGTACTGGGCGTTAACAGTTGTTGTTACAAATCTGCAAATAAGTTACTACTGTGCATACGTTTGAGGAATGTCAAGAAATGTTTTGAATGAAACGATAGTGAAAAACTTGTCCACAAATGTCAATTTCAAGATACAATCAATAGTACTAAGATTGATTGGCCTCCATTACCATTAAGCTATAAAAATGGTAAGTTATTTTTATTTTTTTATTATTTAAGGCTACAATTTTTGTATTTCACTACAAAATTGTAGGCTTCAAATTCAAAGTAAAATAAGTTTGAGATTGAAAATATATTAATATATTTTTTTCAATCTTTGTAGTTATTTACAAATTTGTATCAGACAATTTTAATTTTATTTAGTATGTTTTCTTTTTGTAAAAATCTATGAATATTTGACAATATTTTAAAGAGTTACTATTGCGTTTATTTTTTTAATATCTACCTAACATATTAAAAAAAACATATTTTTTTATTCCAAAATGTGTGAAGAAACAGACTATAAAAATTTACTTATTTATTTTTTGTATTTTTAGTCAGCAATATAAATTGGTATTAATGGACGTTTTGATAGCTGTTTAAAGTCCAAGTTCCAGTTTTAATGGATAATCTTTAATGGACACAGAAAAATGCCATTTACTGGATTGACTTCAACACATGTTGCCTTTTAATAATGGTAAGTTATGCCTCTCAACTTATTCTTATAAAATTTAAAAATCTTATAAAAATATTAAATTTTCCATCGTATTCAAGCTCTTTTGGCTCAATATTAACAGGCTCTATTTCTGTTTTCTTTTGTGAACTAAAACAATAATAAAAAAGACTTAAAAGCGGGACAAAATAAAACACAGACACTGTATTACTGGTTGCATATCAGCGATCTTGGAAAAAATGCATAGTTTTTAAATCTTTTTTTAATAATTATTCAAGTTTCCACTAACATACACGCAATAAAATGACAAACCGAGTAAATATAAGTTGATTTTTTTTATTTTGATATTTTTAGTAAAGTAGATACCTTATTTATATTTTTTTCGATCATTAAAACCGCAAATATATTAATTATAATTATTTTTTATTAGAAAAAATTAACTAATTTTAAGTCTATCTAAGATCTTTATTGTTTATTGTTTGTTTAATATGACTTATTTAAATTGATATAAAAAATAGCTATTATTTATATTTTTACATAGTTTTGAATATTAATATATTTTTTTATGTTTAAAAAAAATTGATATAAAAAATATTTAATATATTTTTTTCAATTTTAGGTATACAACGGTACAATTGTTGTTAGAAGTTAACAAGTAGTACTAGTTGCAGATAATATATTATGGTGGACATCAAAAAGCTTTAAATGGAATGAAACTTGCAGGAAAAATAAAGGAAAACCATTTTAGACTGTATACGTAATAGTTGTTAGAGTGGATGCAGTCCTTCATCAATGGTAAGCTATTTATCTCTTTTTTTTATTAAATTTCTTTGACAAGGTTGAAAATTATGATAAATTTAGTATGAACAAACTGACGTCATATTTTTTTTTATTATTTTATTTTTTTTATCTTTTAATTTTTTTTGTACTTTTAGTGAGCTGAACAAATTGATGGTAATGGACATTTTGACAGCTGCTGTCACAACTCAACGAACATGTTGCAGCGTTGAAGGAAAATTTTTCATTGGATACAGAAAAATGTCAGTTGTTTCAGGATGTAAAGTTAATAGAACCAGGGTCGGGCTCGACATCTGTTGCCTTTTAATAATGGTAAGTTATTTTGATCATTTTATATACAGAGATTTTCATACAACTGGTTCATTAAAAGTTTTTTACTGTATATATTTTTCAAAGTCTATAACTAGTTTAATTTGGACTAAATTTCAATGTAAAACACTTTTAATGAGCTAGTTATGTGAAATACCCTGTATATATTTTTATGAAATGGCATTGATAAGCTTGAAAATTCTGTAAAATAATTAAATTTTGCGGAATATTCGTACTCTGCAGTTTGTACAGTGTTGGCATTTTATTTTGTCCCAAATTTTAACAGGTAGTTTTAACTTTTTTTTTATTTGGGAAGCTAGAATTTTCATTGAAAAAAAAAAGAAATTAGAAGGTTTTAACTCAAGTTTTTATGTGTTTTTTTTTCGTATATTATTTTTATCTATTTTTTTAAATTTACAGGGTATCTTATTTACAAAATATATACATTTTCTACCAATAACTTAAGTGGGTGTCAAATGGCAGTGTATCATATTTATAACAATAAAATGGGGGATATTAAAACTTGACAAGAAACCCTATAATTTGTTTTTTTAATGAATGTTCCAGCTCAAGAAATAGAAAAAAAATTAAATGGACAATGCTAAGATTGTATTACTGGTTGCATAGTTTTTTTTTAAGTTACCACCAAACCAAATATTAGTTTTACTTTTATATATATATATATCTGGTAAATTAGATATTTAATTTTTTGAGCATTAATAAGTCATAATAATGTATTACTGTCATATCAAGAAAATTTACAATTTTTATATTATTTCTGAAGTTATCAATAAAAGTCTTTCTTTTAATTTTATATAACTCTTTATAACTTACTCAAATTAATATAAAAAAATGTGTATTATTTATTTGTTATTTTACATAGTTCCAAATATTAAGATAATTTATGTTATTGTCTGTTTTCTGATAGCTTCAAAAATTTACTACAATAAAAAATTACCTAATATATTTTTTATTTAGGTATACGAAAAGACAATTGCTATTAGAAATTAATAAGTCGTACTAGCTGCAAGTAATATTTATGGTGGTCATATAAGAGATTTAAATGGAATGAAACTTGTGCAGAAGAAATCAAGAAAAACCATTTTGAACTGCTGTTACTTAATAGCTGTTATAGCGGGTCCAGTTCTTCATCAATGGTAAGTTATTTATTTATCTTATAAAATTTCATTGAGCAGCTTGAAAATTTCTAAAATTTTTTAATATTCAAGCTCTTTTGTTCAAATATTAGAACAGCCAATAACAGTTAAAAATAAGCAGGACAAAATAAAATGCTCATGCTGAATTACTTGTTGTATATTGTTAGGGATTCCGTGAGTCCGCTAATTTAAAGTCACGATAAAATACTTAAGGGATTTATTTTCTCACAATTTTTATACTGATTACAACACACAATTAACTATTTAAAAAAAATCCTTCGCCAAATTGTCAACATTTCTAAACTGTTTGGTTTAAAATTACAAAACTCGTCACACACACCTTGACGATATATTAAAGTTCCCACTACTAGAATAAACGCCATAAATATATATTTTAATAAATATAATTTTGATTAATTTTTTGTTTTGTTTTTTATTAATCTTGTTTTCAAAAATCTCAAAAATTAGTACAGTAAAAATTTACTTAATATTTTTTTGGAATTTTAGGCATATGCTGGGACAATTGCTGTTAAAAATCCACAAGCTGTACTATCTACAAATATTATGGTTGACATCAAAAAGCTTTAAATGGAATGAAACTTGTGCAGAAGAAATCGAGGAAACCCATTTTGAACTGCTGTTACTTAATCGCTGTTAGAGCGGATCCAGTTCTTCATCAATGGTAAGTTATTTATCTATCTTATAAAATTTCATTGGACAGCTTGAAAATTTTTTAAATTTTCTAATATTCGAGCACTTTTTCTCCAATATTAGAATAGCCAACGACTATTAAAAATAGGCAGGATAAAATAAAATACTGATACTGTATTACTGGTTGCATATTTTTACGGATTCCGTGGGTCCGCTAATTTAAAGTCAGGATAAAATACTTAACGGATTTATTTTCTCACAATTTATACTGATTACAACACACAATTAACTATTTAAAAAAAATCCTTCGCCAAATTGTCAACATTTCAAAACTGTATGGTTTAAAATTGCAGAACTCGTCACACACACCTTGACGATATATTAAAGTTCCCACTACTAGAATAAACGCCATAAATATATATTTTAATAAATATAATTTTGATTAATTTCTGTTTTGTTTTTTATTAATCTTGTTTTCAAAAATCTTCAAAAATTAGTACAGTAAAAATTTACTTAATATTTTTTTGGAATTTTAGGTATATGCTGGGACAATTGCTGTTAAAAATCCACAAGCTGTACTATCTGCAATTATTATGATGGACATCAAAAAACTTTTGGAATGAAACTTGCAGGAAAAGACTCAGAAAGACCATTTAGGACTGTACTTAATAGCTGTTGAAAAGTGGTCGCAGTCCTTTATCAAGGGTAAGATTTTTATCTCTTTTTTCTTACTAAATTTCATCGACAAGCTTGAAAATTATGATAAGGTTTCATAATGTTCAAGCTGCACAGGTTTCTGAGATAAACGTCTATACCTATATGTCATTTATTAAAAATTGATATAAAAACTTGTCAAAAATAATATTTAAATGAAAAAAAAAAGGAAAAAGGTTTCAAACATACCGATTATTATTCAAAGGTGAAAACCTTAATTTAAAAAAATATGAATTTTTTCATTCTTTAATTTTTTATAAATTTTTATACCAATTTTTTATAAATGATATATTCTGGTCTACCTGGCAGAAATAATTGTCATCAATTGTTATTTCAAAGGCCACTATAATGCTGTTTTTTTTTCTCATAGGGTATATACAATTTATTAATTGAAAAAACATAGTTATTGCATTAATAAAAATATATTTATTTTAATTTTCGCATAAATCGTTTTATTCTTTTTTTAATATTATTTTTATTTTATTTTTTAGATATCTCTGCATTTTCTTAACAATGGATATCCAACAGTTGCTCCTACTCCTCACTTTCCTCTTTCACTCAACATAAAGCAGACTCAATACTCCTCAATGCCTCACCAAGGTTCGTTAGCTTCATTAATAGTGTTATTGTTTCAATAAATTTGTTTATTGGTTTTTATCTTCTTACTATATAATTACATCAGGCGTCATTTTAATGTTAATTTTTTGTAAAATTTTGATAATCTGGATAGAAACCTTTATTTTTATTAAGCTTTTGCAATATAAAACACTAGTTAAGAGCAATACACTTTATTTTATGAATAGGACCATTATCTCTGTTGATATTGTCTTTATATTTATGCTGCGTGTTGCCTCTAGTTTGAGGGATGTTTGATTAATTTTAAATCATTCAAATCAATGCAATAATCTTTATGGAGGATATGTTGAGCAACATAATACTAATCTGTTATAATTTTTCATTTCAAGCTTTTTTTCAATCTCACCTATCTTATATTTTACTTCCATTAGTTCAATCATTAAATTGTTATTAAATAAAACTATATTGTATTCTGGATTTCGTCAAAGGTATTTTTAAAAGATTTAAAAAACAATCTTTATAGGGTTGTATCATTTCCAATTTATTTTATCTTGTATTATTTATATTTTCCTAAGCTTCTCTAAGTTTATTCCAGATTATCAAAATTATAATTTTTATACTTGCGCAGCTGCGTCACTATAGCCCTATGAACACAAGTATTATTTTGGTTTTAAAGTTTATATTTTTTAATATTTGATTTATTGTATTAACGCAAAACTAAATTTTATAGAATTTAACTAACTATATCTTCAACCGGATGATAATTTAATGGTCATTTAATATTTTTTCATAAACATTAAATGTGATTATTGAATACCAATGTTAAGCCAGTAGAAATGATTTATTAGTGTTTATTTTTTTGAAATATTTTTTTTATTAAATCAATTTTGGATACTTGTGTTCATATAGTTTTTTTTTGCTTTTGAGAATTATTTTTGGTACCCTATCAGATGTTTTTAATTATATGATTTTAAAACATTTATGTTTATATCTATTTTGTACTTAAATTTTAGTGATAAAGTTTGTTTCTTTAACACAGAGAGCAATGCACTTCATGCATTGTTTTCTTTTTTATGTGCAGAATTCTCTTTATATACAGTATGTCCTCAGAACGTCTTTACAAGAGCAAAAGCTTTTTTTTTATTAACATTTTCATAAAAATACATTTCTTATAAAAATATTTTTCTTTTTAATATGTATTTTCATTTTAATTTATTTAACGAATATATTGTGTAAGCACTGTGCGTAGATATACTGTGCGATTCAAGTATATTTATACTAAAATTGTTTTTTTTTAAATGCAATAAAAGTAATCCAATCAAAATTGCATAAATTAATTATTTTAGAAGAGTTCAATTGAAAATAAATACATGAATTTTAATCTTAAGTATTACTGGTTGCCTAATCGATTCTTATGTAATGTTGTGTAATGTTATTTCCAGTAGTAATTTTTTCTCTCAATTTTAGTATTTAAAATGTCTCTATCTAGTCATATTTATTTAACATATCTATTAGACCTCTACGACCCATCGTCTCTGAAAAATACAAACTGCTGTTTGCTATGCGTTAATAAAATCGTTACACTTGCGTTTAAGATAATTAATTACTGCTATATAATTTTTTTATGAAATGTGAAACAAACTTTATCTCCTAAAATTTATGAATTTTACATATGAAAATGGACTGCTAGGGTATATAATATATTTATTGTAGGATCAATTGAAATATTATAAGCCATGATATAAAAATTAACACTTGTATATACATATTTGTTAAATATATAATTTTAAGATAGAACACATTTTTACACAAAAATAATAATTCTAGTTTTATATGTGGCATATCGTTTTTCAGTTGGTCCTTCAACATTTAAAATCTTTTTGCATAAATTTCATTCCACTTAAATGTTCCAAAAAGATATATTTTAATACCAGTCTTGTATGTTATTTGGTGTATTAGAATTTTATAAATACTGTTAATAATAATGATCTATTATAGCTTACCTTTGCTATCTGTAATACGAAATATTTCTAAATATTTTTTGTTGAAAATGAATATTACTTTATAACATTTATTAAGCAAAATAAATTTGAAGATCCCTATTATTATCAAAGAGATATCATTAAAGTATTTCAATACAATATCTTTTTTTCAAACGTCACAAAACTCTTAATTTTTGCGACATGACAACAAAGATTGACATATAAAAAAGTAATTTTTACGCTTGTGCGCTTAAGCACAAAAGTGCAAAAATTATTATCAAACTGACAAATTTAACAAGCGTAACCATAGTTTCTCGATATATAATTACTTACAACATATTACTTTTAAATATTTTTGTATTTTTGCAACGTTTGAAATTGTTTAAAACATTTGTGACGTTTGAAAAAAGAACATGTTCTATTCGGAGTAAAAATGACTTTTAGTGTCTCGCCTGTACTGTCGAACGTACAGTCTCGCCGCAAAAAGTATCATTTTTACTCCTAATAAAACAATATACCGTATGATCGAAAAAAAAACGGCGTCCAGTTGGCTTGGAAATGAATATCAATTACATTTCCCATATAATTTTATATATAAAATTACAGCGATCTTCATTTCATAGCCATCGCCGACGCCATTTTTATTCGATAATATTGTACTATTTCTGTACAAATGTTATTATCTGTTTTCTATATAATATTATTGTAATCTATTGCTGTATTTTTGTTATAAAATTGCTTTGTATACATCTATATTTTGTAAGCATTTTAGAGGTTCCGAGCACTACGTTTACAGTCATTTCTTTTTTCATTTTAAATATTTTTTTGTCGTGTCTAATAATTAATCAGCTAATTAAGAATATTTTTTTAGTAGGTAAAAAAGAATAATTTATATTACCACAGAGTGGCCCAATGTTCCAAAAATAATCATGTTAGGTCTTCACTTTGAAATTTTCACTGAATTTTTTTTATAAAACATACGGGTTACAGTAGTAGTAGATCATATTTTAAAGTCAGTTCGTAGAAATACACAGGGTGTTTTTAATATATTTTTGCTTTATATTGGTAGTATTTAAATGCAATGTTATTCAAATTTTAATTCTATTGTTATTTTAGATTTTTCCTGTACATTTTTAAAGCTTTCACAAATTTATAAAGTCGTATTTTTTTTAATTGAAAATCTACATATATAAAATGCTAATGTTTATCTGTGTCGTCTCTACTGAAGTAACGACTTGCTCTAGAAAGTTGCTTTTTTTACTAAAAGATAGCTAATTGGCTCTTCTAAAAACTGTCGTCGCCGGATTTTTTGTTTTTCATTTAATTATAAAAAGATAATAATTTTTTTTTTCTGACGTCGTGGCGGATGCGCCAGTATTCAACTAGTATTTTATATAACAAGATCAAAACAAATTATACTAAAATACTTTATATGTTGGTAACTAAATATAATATAATGTCTTTCTCTGCTATTTAAATAAAACACTCTTAATTTTATAATAATATACTTTATAAATAACAAAATTGTGGCATTGTTAATATTTAGAAATTAAATATATCCAGATATTTGAAAATAGAATATATTAAAAAAATTATGCTTAAATTATTACTACTTCAAATTACTAGATTACATTAAATAACATTCTTATGAGTTGATACTGTTGTTTTGTATGCATCTGGCAAGCTTTTTCTGGAATAATTTATTTAATTAGCACTTATCAATTATCTGAACTAATTTTAAGGCTGTAAACTGTAGTTTTGGAATCTTTAAATATTTAGTCAGTGATGGGATTAAGATTTGTAACTGTGTAATGATTAATCCACCACTGTACTCCAATAGAAAATTGCGTAAATTAATTATATAAAGCTCATTTTACATAGAAAAATCATCTGAAAATAGTTATCTCAATTTCTTTAAATTTTAGTATAACTGGTTGCCTAATCGATTCTTACTCATTCAAACACCTTAAAAGTTAAAATTTGTAGAATAATTAATATATTTGTTGATTGCTTTCTAAGTAAGTATTGTTTTCAAATTTCAATTAAATAAAAACCGTTTAAATTACTACAGGGTGGCTCAAATAAACTAGGTGTTCTATTTGGGATTTTCACTTCAATCTTTTTATTACAAAACATGCCGGTAATATTAGAGCACCATATTAAAGCCATTTAAAATTTCAGTTAACTAGAAGTTTACCATGTTATTTAATATGTTATTTATTTATTTATTTATTAACTGTTCACTTCAATTTTTTTTGTATAATTTTAATGCATGCGATAAGCGATTAATTAATTTATGCAATTTTTAATTTTATATTAGTTTAAATGGAAAATAAACAACAAACCCTATAAAAACTTCCATTGTTAAAATGTTCCAAATGTATTCCACTTCCTCATGAGTGTATTTTCCGTCATTTTATCATTTCCACTTTGTGTGCTTTATTGAAAGTATTGACGCTTCCTATGAAAAGTTTATCAATCAATAATGTTGTACAGACTGTCCATCTCGCTCATTAGTAAGGATAGGACATTGCGATTTTTATAAACTTGATTTTTATGAAAAATAAAATTGCCACAGTCCCCTTTTAGTTTCTATGATACAGGGTGATTTTGAAAATGTTACAGTTTCAGATACATCTTCTATTTCAGTAGTCTGACAACTTATCAATAAATTTTAAAACATATTGCTATGGAACTTCTCTTTTAAATTCTTTAAATAGTTCTTTTTAAATATCGACCAATGTTTAGTTTCTGTTAATGGGAAAGCCCGAATATTTGTCATGAAATTAATATATCTTCTCACAAGCCACCATAAGTCACAGTTTTTAATTAGAGGTAAAACAGTTTAATACAAATTTTGTTATATCCTATGTCATTGTTCTTAGTATTTGTATTTTTAGTTCCTTATTGTTTAAACTTCTCATTTAAAAATTAAATACATTAATATTGGTTTCGCTAATTAAAAGATAATAGCAGCATTGTTTTGGCATGGTCCTATGTAAATTTTTATTTGTATTATTTTAAAATTATTAATTCTGCATCTTTTAACTAAAATATACTGTTACATATATTTTCAAAGCTTGTGAAGGACGAAGTTAATTTTTTTGACAAGTGTACAGGATGTGTGATGAAAATATTAAGAAAAAAACTTATTCTTATGTCTCTGGTTCCACCTAATATATTCTAAGTATATGAATGTTTTTATTTTTTTCAGACTACTGATATAATATGAAGTGTATGTAAAACTGCAACACATTGTATCATAGAAACTAAGAGAGCCATGACAATTTTGTGTACTGTATCTTTGCTTTGAAGAAAAAAATAATGGGTTCGTTTAAGTAACGAGTTCGACATTTAGTATTCTTTACTAATAAGCGAGAAAGCCCTTAATTGCAAGGAAATGTGGAAATGACGAAACCGTTTAACATGGGTATCTCATGTTTTATAGTGTTTCTCCCTTATGAACGGAGATAGGTAATAAGTAGCGGTTTTCGCAGTGGCTACTAATTTTTTATAAAATACCCTACGGTCGAAAAAAAAACGGCGTCATGAACGGCTGGGGAATGACGATGACAATTTTTGCGAACTCAAGCCCTAGACTTCATTTTCTTGGCCCGTCCTCTTCTTTATTGTTTAATGGCGCTTACTGCCAGTTGCCCTTAAGAAGGTTGTAATTTATTTTTATATTGAGTAAAAACGATTTTTAAATGGCGTAGTTTAAAATTACAGGAAAAAAATGGAAATAGATTTGTGTGTCTAGAACCGTTCTATCTTTTTGTATTCTTTCTATAATTTAGGGTTAATATTGAAGTTTTATTTAAAATTTTACTAAATGACGTCTAGAGATTGACCTCGTCAAAATTATCATCGATTGTCATTCCCCAGACGCCTTTGACATAGTTTTTTTACTTTTTTTAAATCACATGTTATAACCTTTATAGTTTTTGAGCTACAGGGTGATTTTGATAAATGCTTTTAACATGCTTTTTACCGTCCCTTGTATTCAGATATAAAAACTTATTGTAAATGTAAAAACATAATTCGTTCTTGTGAAAGCAAAAGTTTTTATGTTAAAAAAATATGTTCATATTTTTAAATTCTGATGATCTCTAATGGACAAACGAAGCACTTTTTTATAGAGGTAAATTGTGTGCAATTGCCTTATTTTGACTGACAACCTGTACATAAAATATATAAAATACACCTTCCGTTGATAACTGAAGAACATAATTTCATCTGAAAGAATATTTTTTTATAAAAATTCGCTTTTGCTTATAATTTTTTAAATATTTATAAAAATGATTCTGTAGCTTAGAAACTAAGAGGGCTGGGATAATACATTTATCACAGCCCTCTTCCTCATATCTGTAATTTCATCAATAAGAAGCCAACTATTTTGCGAAAATCTCAACTTTTTCTCTATCTGCGTTCATAAGCTAGAAAGTCCCTAAAGCATATGAAAATGGTACATCCTGTACAGGTTAGCAATTTACGTTGTCCAATAATTTAACAGGACGCCTTATTTTTGCGATAAATTTTATTTGTTGTTTATTTTCCTGTAGCAGCACGTTTTTCGAACTCGCTGTAAGAATAAAACTTACAGCAACTTCTTACTTAGAACTTGCTGTAAGAGGCAGTGCGTTCTAAAGGCCGGTTTACACGGTGCTGCTGAAACGCATAGTGTAACTAATAGCACTAAGTAGCACTAAGGCGGGTTGACGCGGTCCAAGTGTACTTGGACCAAGTGCTGCCATATAAGTATAATTTATGGATGCTGCACGCATCTCACTTGTACGCTGTTTGTATCGTATATCAACTGTTTTATCCAAGTCGAGTTGGAAAGCTTCATATCATCCTACAAAGCTTTCAAATTCGACTTTGATAAAATAGAATCAGCTCACAAGTGAGGCGCGCACAGCATCCATATAAGTATACTTTTATGGCAGCATCCAAGTGTAAATTAGTCCAAGTCAACCAGGGCTTTAGAACTTGCTGCAAAAAAACTTATAGCGTCAAAAATACCTGATTATTTAATGTAAATTTTAATACCTTATTCTCTCTCTTTAATGTAAATTTTATGTACCAAATATATAATGTAAATTTTATGTACCAAATATACGCAAAATAATGAATTTAATATTCGTTTTTTTTTAATAGTAAACAATTTATAAAGCACACTTAATCTATGTGGCGCCCCCTAGTGTCAATGTACCGAACTAAAGTACATATGCACTTAAATGTACCGAACTAAAGTACACATGCACTTAAATGTACCGAACTTATTAAGCAACTTAGTCTCTGTGGCGCCCCCTAGTGTCAATGTACCCAACTAAAGTACACATGCACTTAAATGTACCGAACTAAAGTACATATGCACTTAAGTTCAGGGCATTAACACCAGAGGGCGCTACTATCATTTTTAGTGTCGGGCATTAACACCAGAGGGCGCTTCCATCATTTTTTAGTTCCGGGCGTTAACACCAGATGGCGCTACTATCAGTTTTAGTTCCGATCATCAACACCAGAGGGCGCTACAGGCTTTTTTTAGTTCAGGGCTTTACCACCAGAGGGCGCCACATGCGCAATTTTAAAATAAAACAATTATTTTCATTTTAATAGGTTTATTTATAATAAATTACTACATGCAAGGATGGATTTAAACAATGATTATTTATTTTATAATGGATGATGGAAAGTGCGTACTATATACAAGAGTATACATCGCATTGTGGTTCCAAAAGAGGGTTATCTCTCCATTAAGCCCGGTTGACACGGTACAAATGTACTTCGATCAAAATACACTTGGATGCTGCCATAATTGCCATATAAATATACTTAAGGATGTTGCGCGCTTCTTACGTACGCGTTTGTATGGTTGATATCAACTGTTTTCTCAAAGTTGGAAAGCTTCATAACGTCCAAGTTAGTAGGCTTGCTACCAACTTACTTGGATGTTACAAAGCCTTCCAACTGGACTTGGATAAAACAGTTAATAAGATAGAAGCAGCGTACAAACAAGTAACACGCGCGTAGCATCCATATAAGTATATTTATATGGCAGCATCCATGTGTACTAGGTCCAAGTATACTTGGACCGTGTCAGCAAGCTTTTAGTCATAGTCTCCTAAACTCCTAAGGTCTAATGAGGCCATGACATTTTAGCTCAAGGTTGCTTATGAGCGAGATACCCTCAATTACAACCAAAATGGGACACTTTGTACATG